GCAGCCCAGCGGCCGGGCTGGTCGCGTCTCCCTCTCCGTCGCGGGTGGAACCGAAACCTCTCTAGAAGCACCTGAAGGGGGCCCGTTTGGGAAGGGGACCGGGGCAGAGCTTGGCCTTTTGAAGGGATCGAGAGCCGAGAAGGACCTGAGGGTACTAGTGGGTGAAAAGCCGGACGTGAGCCGGCAGTGTGCGCTCGCAGCCCAGAAGGCCGACCGTACCCTGGGCTGTATCAAAAGCAGCGTGGCCAGCAGTTCGAGGGAGGGGATTCTGTCCCTTTACTCCAACTCTGGTGAGACCCCACCTGAAGTCCTGCATCCAGCTCTGGAACCCTCAGCACAGGACAGACATGGACCTGTTGAAGTGAGTCCAGAGGAGGCCACCAAAATGCTCAGAGGGATGGAACACCTCTCCTGTGAGGACAGGCTGAGAGAGTTGGGGTTGCTCAGCCTGGAGAAGAGAAGGCTCCAGGGAGACCTTACTGCAGCCTTCCAGTACTTAAAGGGGACCTGTAAGAAAGATGGGGACAAACTTTTTAGCAGGGCCTGTCGTGATACAACAAGGGGTAATGGTTTTAAACTAAAAAAGGATAGATCTAGATTAGATCTAAGGAAGACATTTTTCACAGTGAGGGTGGTGAAACCCTGGCACAGGTTGCCCAGAGAGGTGGTGGATGCCCCATCCCTGGAAACATTCCAGGTCAGGTTGGACGGGGCTCTGAGCAACCTGATCTAGTTGAAGATGTCCCTGCTCACGGCAGGGACGTTGGACTAGGTGATCTTTAAAGGTCCCTTCCAAGCCAGACTATTCCATGATTCTTTTCACGAGGCAATGAGCAGTTCAGCTGGTCAGCTTATACCTTCCCTGCAATGTAAAAAGCTGTGGAAAGGGCAACAGTGACTCCTGAGTGGTGCTGTACAGCAAATACATCAGAAATTAGGCTTTTTTTCCCCCCTAATTCTTTGTGTTAGTGGAAGGCCAAAGTGTTTAAGGAAAAACGATGGCAGTTTCTGTGGGCTTTCACAGCTGGAAAGCATTTCAGATGTGGTGCCTTTGAGCTGAGGCTTCCAAAACCAGCTTTAAAGCACCTGAGTACGTGGTGTCACCTCGGAGCTCCAGACTTGTAGCCTCTAGTGAGAACTTGCCAAGAAGTGCTGGGTTCATTGGGCATCTGATCCTGAAAACCATGTCTTAATGTTGTTACCTAACTTGTAGTATACAATTAAATTTTGGGAAGTTGCACTGGTTTACGGTAAAGCAAATTCTAAGCTGTAATTTCAGCTTTCTCAAAGTTTTGTCATGGCAGTGACTAGTATAAATTATGTACTGAAAAACCCAAACGCTACAGTTGTGGCCAGCAGTGATTGAAAAGTCTTTCATTCAAAATATTTCCAGTGGAAGGTAGAAAGGAAGACATCTTTATTTCCTCTCTAAGTTGATGTAAGAGTATGTTGCATCCAGTTTAGAAGTGTGTTAATGGCAAACGTTCAGACCAACTTCTGTGTTTGAGTCAAAAGTACATGTTTGTGTCAATGAATGTGATTTAGCTAAAAATTAATTTCCTTTCTCAGAAAAAAAATTAGGCTGATGCAGAAGAAGCACCAACTGTTCATCCTGTTGAGATGTCTTGTAGTCCATCATTAATAGAACCGACATGTTCCCACTCTGAGACACGGGGAACTGCAAAAATGAGAGAAAATGATGCTACTTCCAGACATTTGGTGGGTGCTAATTTCTAAATTAAATTTAATATTTGTAGGCATGCGTTGGCAATTAAGTAAAGGTGTTATGTTTTCTAAACTCTCCCCCCTCCCCCCGAGAAGTAAACTCTGGCAAAGTTGTATGCTCAAAGTATCTGTTGTTTTATTGATTTAGGATTGTATGCTATACAAGTATATGAATATGTTTTTGTTGTGTATTTATGATAATTACGCTGCAGTAATTGCTTCTCTGGAATATAGAAAAATTGCTATTGCTACAGAAATATTTAGAACTAACAGTGCGGTAGCTGAGTTCAGTATTGCAGAACAAAGTCCAGTTCTGATCTGTATCCGTAACTCTGCTGTAAGGACCTGTGAAGGCCTCGGGGAAGGAATGACTGTTCTTCAACTAGCCTAAAAGCCTCTGAAATCTATGTCTGGAGAGCTGTAGTTGGACTGTAGATACCTTGTGCTGGCTATGAGTAATATCTGCTTATAGTGTACTAGCAGCCTATTTAATTTGAATTATACAGCTGTGATGGGGTTGTGTTGTTAAGGTCCATACAAACACACAGCTGAATAACCCTTCTGTTTTTTTCTGGCAGCCAGCATCTTGTCCAGTAAAAAGAGTTTACATAGCAAGTATCTTCTGCTTTTTTTTTAAATGTTGCTGAGTGGAAATGGCTTTCAGACAGTCTGATAAATAGTGTATGGAGCCTGTGGCATTTTTCTTAGGTCTTCTGTTGTGTATCGAGCAATACAGTGGTAAAAGGGACACGCTGGTCAATGCCGTTGCACAGTAGATAACTATGTGCAACAAATGAAATGTCAGCTTTCACTGTAGCAGAGATTCCTGGGATGGATACCTACCTTTTAGTAAGTAGAGATTCAAACTGGTAGTATTACTTTCAGTACATAAGCATGGACTCAACATGACTTTGTGTATTTAAGTTGTTTAGAGTGTGGTTCCTTTCTGGAGAAAGGAATTGAGAGAATGCTAGCAAGACGTTTCTGTTTTTTTGACAAATAGACATTTGTTTGTTAAACCTCCTCTTTCTTTTGCATTCTATGTGTTGAAACTCTATAGCAAGATGCTGATATAGCTCTTCTATGAAACTTTCAGTCTGTAGCCTTTTAGATATTTATTCCAAAGGTCTAAGGAGGTCTTTTGTTTTTGTGTTTGCTTTTTTTTTTTTACTACATGAAAATTGCTATAGATGTTATTTTTATGAGTGAGTAGGAACTGTTTAAAAAAAAAAAAAAAAGGAAAAAAAAAAAAGAAAATTCAGGCGATGGGCACCATCCAAAAAGTAGGTGGTTATCCAGGCTGTGTTTGAAGGACATAACTGTGTACAAACTTGTGTTCTAGTTTTTCCACCTCTTTTGTAACTGGAGAAAAGCACTAAACAGTAAATGTTGTTTCAGGTTCCTCCTTCTGATGATAATGAAAGTGAACGGTCAAAATCTATTCAAAGGAAGAGAGTGCTTCCATCCTGGATGCTGGAAAGAGATCTCCTGGTTCAGAGGATTTCTGAGCCTGTAATGAAAGGAGGTAAGTTTGCAGTGCAGTAGGTTTGCTTACCAATACACATTTATGTGCTTTGATATCATTTTCTTAAATTGTAGTTATGGTAGTAGAAAATATTAATGTGTTACTTCTCTTTCCATCGTCTGTGCCTGGCAGCTAACAGAGACTGACTTCTGTTGTCTCCTTTGTCCTATGGGCATGACAGAGCTCTCTTGATCAGTTGATTTTTCTTTCTGTTCTTTTTTTAATGTTGGGTAGTATACTGTCTTTGGACAGCTGGACACCTGGTGTTCTGGAGCCCTTTCCTATAAACTCGCCCGTTTTCTTTAGTATGGAAATTCTAGGTAGTTTCTGTACCTTGAATTCTGAGCCTTCTCCACATTCAAGTCACTGATGTATTGCCCTTCTAAATTTAGATTCTTCTAATTTCACAGGTTGTAAAGTGGTGTTTTTGAGTGGTGGTATGTGGTAGTTTTTTTAACCATGACTGAATCAAACTTGGATCACTTGGTCCAAAGTTTTTTCCTAGGAGGAGCAGTTATAGTAGTTTCTTACCAGGATGAGGCTAAAATAGTTTTGCATTCCCTCTCGTCCTTCTCGCAAAAGGAAACTGCTGAATGTACGATAAACTTCTCCAGTGTATCAGTGGTAACAGCAGCAGAATACTGTGTTTAGTCACTATCAATGGGAGACGCAAGGGTGCTTCATTGGCACAATCCCAAGAAAACTTTCTAGCATGTCTGGCTTTGGTCCTGGGAGCTTGTAAAGACTTCTAAAACCGCCATTAGACATTCTCCGATAAACTTAATTGCAAGGCATTTATTTTTCCGATGACTTTTTATCGATAGAACTGGAGGACTAAAGAAATGAGAGAAGGAAAATGACTACGTACATCAACAGCGCTCCCCCAGCGTTTCTATCTTTGCTGAAGACAGCATGCCCCACCCTGCTTCCTGTTCTGTGGTGAGGTGTGAGGTAGTTCAGATGCTAACTGCTGAGTTTCCTTCGTTAGTCTAAGTGTATGCACTGTGGCTGGTGTGTGCGTATCCGCTCCTCTGTGTCCAACAGCTATCCTTTAATGCCTCTGTTTCCACCTGCTATTTCTGCTGAGATGGCATAATGAAAAAATTTGGCTCTTGATGCCCAAGCAGGCCTGCAGAAGTATTTCACATAGTGTCTGACCAATTGCTTCTTACCTCCTGTGCTGAATGCAGGTGTCCGGATGGATTGACCTGGGCAATTGTGGCTTTAAACACCTCTGTCGTATGCCCTGCCCTGCCTATTCCTTTCCTCAAAAACTAATTTTGAGACAATTATAAGAAGCAAAAGAAACTTTTTTTCTTTCCCCCCTCAATCTGGACTGTTCCTTGCTGGCTTATTCCCTCACATGTAAAAATTGCATGTACCAGAGGACTTCTGCTGGCTGTGTTGAGTTGTTGAGTCCTGCACTAGCATGATTGTTTTCTTATGTTTGGTTTTATTTTTGGGTTTTTTTGGGGTGGGTTTTTTGTTTGTGTGGTTTTGTGTTTTTTTTCCTCCACAGGTACTATAATGTTATGTGTGTATATAACGTTTGTTTCAAAGACTGTACATTTTGATCGTGTAGGCGCTGAGATTTGGAGCTGTGTGGGCAAGGGGTATGTGTGCTGTTGAAGGCCTGACCTTGAGGGAGCTAGGGATACATATGTACACTATTGGAGCCATGTAAAAATTCATTACATGAGATAATGATGCCAGCTGAGAATGGGCTGCTTTTATAAAACATCCAATGTCTTCTGCAAATCTTGTATTTCCTTAAAATTGTGAAATGGTTTGCATCTTTTAAGGGCGGTATTAGACGGAAAGGTAGAGGGTAAAATGAAAGGGCTGCCCTCTTGATTCTCTTCCATATGCCTTCCTACTTGAAAGGGAATGCCAGTTTGTTGTTTGGAAGTCAGACATGAACATTTGGAAGAGGTCTTGCTTCCTATGGATGCCTCTGGCATGTCTGTGTGTTTTTGAAGGGAGAGAGTTTTTGAAATCTTGCAAAACGGCATCAAATATCTTCCTTCTGAATGCATTTTGCAGCAGATGGAGCTATAACAAAACAGGCACAATGGCCATACCTGTCTCCCAGCTATATATCCAGAAAATACTGCTTCAGTACAGAGAACTTAACAGTTCTCTGGGATGCAAAGCTTTCCAGAGAGGCACGACATTTGTTGTCTTTCTGTCGGTTACTAGCTGATGAAATAATCAACCATGACGTGCTTGACTAGGCAAGTGGGTGTACCCCGATTTTGCCATGTCATAATCAATTGATGTTTGTGTGTATAAACTGGTAGTCTGAAGTGAGATTTACATGAAAGGTCTGTGGCAAAAGTTGTCCTTGGACACTTGGTTTACTTTATCAGCTCCTATTGTGTAAATGAAATTGTCAGTCATACTCATACAGTCAGTCCAGAATATTCTTTGCCCTGTATTTATTGTTTTCCTTCAAATTTCCCCCTCAAGCATCTGTTTCATTCTAAAACATACTTTTTACTCCTATAAGTGGGAAGTGGAAAATGTGGTGTTGAAACAGCACATGCACAACTGCTGCTATTTCTCATGCTTTTTGCCCAGTGTTCTGCTTTGACAAAGGTTTATATTAATAACGTGGTCAGGATTTCGCTGTAAAATTTGCATTCCAAAAGTACTCTTTTATTTTTCTTTCAAGGTAGTAGAATGAAAAAAGGCCAAGGAAGGGGAGAGAGTAATATGGAGTCACTAAAATCGGAAGTAAATGTGCAGCAGAAAAAAAGATTAGCTTCTGAAGAAACTATAGAGGATTTTGAAGGTGAAGAGCAAGATCAAGGGAAAAGGAGCTGTCTTTCCATCCCTGTCCCTTCATCTCAGGTAATTTTTTGGCTCAGGGCAGAACCATGGTACTTCAAAAAATGAGAATGTAGTTGGCGATGTCATGTTAAAGCTTGGGTCTACAACATAACTATGTACTCTGCTTGTGATTTGTTGTTTAAGAGTTGCTTTGAAATGCCGATACATTGGACAGCTTTATAGCAAGGATCCTGGAAGCCTTTGGAGATTTGTTTTTTTGCGCTTCCTTCTTGGGAAGGAGGCCCCGAATGTTCCACAGAAATTCCAGACTTCCAGGTTTACAGCAAGAGGCTGGAAGACATAGGCCAAAGTACTGATCCTAGGAATGGCTTGGTGTGTAGTTTCTTTTTCTGAGAACCCTTTAAGGATAGGTGATGGTATGACACTGATGTAATGCAACACTGGACTTTGCCCAAAGCAGTGCCATTCTAGCTGGTGAAGTTTTATGGTTAGAAAATAATGGTATGTGGCTTAGCAAGTGCTATGTTTTGAAGAAAGATAGCAGGGAGCGTGCTTGTGCCACTGTCTCAAAATATGAGTTAAAAAAAAAAAAAAAGGAAAGAAAAAGAAGTAATCTGAAATCCAAAATGATCTGTGGCAATGAATGAAGAGACACTTCAGTCCAGCTGGTCAGTGTGTCTGTGTGTCTTTAAAGTACAGCTGCATTTATAGGCAGTTGAAGGCTTACTTGCTAGCACCCTTATAATAATGAGAAGGGTCATTATCAAAGACAAACAAAACGTATTCTGGTGAGAGCAAAGTGAGGCTTGCACTGACTTCTCCTTTAAGTGAACAACCTGGGGGGGTGTTTCTAATCTCAAGCATCAGAATTGCCTGGATCTGTTCTAGGCGCTGATAAGATACTGAAAATACAATTATTTGGTATGCTTCACTGGTTTTGACACTGAAAACAAGTGAGGGTTGGTTTTGTGTTTTAATTAAATATTAAGGTTAACCAAAATGATCTACTCATGGAGAGCATACCCTTCAGGGTAGTTTTGATAGAGCATAGTGGTATCTTTTAATCTGAAAAAGTGTTCCGAGTGGTGAGCTTTGTTGTTGGCTAGGTACATTAACACCAGCTGCAGTGCTAGTTTCTCTTTGTCAAATTTTAAGGTAAGTGACTACATAAAGAATTACTACATTTTGAAATATTTAAGTATGAAGCCTGCCTTACTTTTCTTCTGATAATTTCATAAATCATTTTTATCTTGAGCACAGTGTAAGAAATTGCCTTCAGAACTTTGCAGGAAAAAAATAACCGGTTAGTGGAAGCAAAAGTAATAATCAGAGCTCTAAAAGATTGGAATTTTTATATCAAAACCAAAATCACTCTCCTGCTGTCGTATTTAAAGTGATTGAGAAAATCTGCTGTAGGGTAGGAAGTAAAAAGAGTATTAACTCTAAGTGCCAGCAGCTGCCAGAAGGCAGTGAGGTCATATACTCTGGTATAACCAGTGCCAATAGTCTCTGGATTTCTTTGATTGCATCCTGTTTTTTAACTAGTCGCCATACTAAGTGTGAAAGTGTTTAGTCTCATTATATACAATATAGGCAATGGATTGAAGTATGTAGTGGAGAAGTCACAAGTGGCAGTGGCAAATTAGAGTAATTTAGTCCTCCTCTTGCATATGAAGGCTTATTTCATAAGCTGCAGTTGTTTGGTGAGCCTTATTTTGGGAGTCTCAATAAAAGAGTCATCTTTGTCTCCAAATTGAGTTACTAAATATGCTGCTGTCAGTATCATTTGATATTAATGCTGACTTTGCCCTTTCTTAATCACACTGCTGCTGAAATGTAATTGTGTCTGGCTTTGGTTAACATTTTGTGAGACTTGCATTGAAAGGAACAAAATCAAATGGGAAACCACCAGCTGATTTTTCAAGCTCTGCCAAACACATCTGTGTAAACTAAGTATAAATTTACTGGAGAGGGAACTTGGATAATAAACTGTAGAGAGCAGAGACCTTTGAATAGTTGTGTTATGTATCAGAGTAGTTCAGCCTTCGATATAGGTATGCTTCCAGGTAATGTCTCCAGTTGTTGGGACAATGTTCCTGCCTTGGTTATGTATCTCATGCTTTTTCTAAAGCACACATCTCTTATTTTAAGTGTACATATATTCAAATATTTAAAGTGCAGTATTTGTCAAAAGTGAAATTGTTGCCTGATGGTATCTACTGACAAACTGTTTTAGGATTTAGAGTCATGAGCTGAAGCATTTAAGGTGTATTGGGGTGGGATTAAACTCAAGGTGCATCTGTCTCACATATATAAATATATATATCCCATGTAACTTGGTACTTATCCCATGTAACTTGGTACTTAAGGGATTAAAATTGATTGTTGTATAGGAGTGTACATTCTTCTACAGTCTACTGTATCTTCATATGTATAACCCCCATTCATTTTTCAGGAGCAGTACTTTTAATTGAAAGTTAATTTAAACTAAAGTCCTTGGGCTATTCACAAACTGAGGTGGTGAGAGAGGAGCCTGTCTGTGTTGTGAGGGAACTGAAGCTGAGGACAGGAGCTTTAGGATAAGTTTTCCTTTAAGTTGTGTGTTTGTGTGTGCTCTTAACTTGAACCTTTTATTCAGCAGCTGTATTTGGCAGCTAACTTCAATTTGGAAAGCGGAGTAGATTTTTAAAGGCTGGACCAGGTGATCTTTTGAGGCCTCTTCCAACCTGGGCTGTTCTACAATTCTCTGATTTTGAAAACCAGAATGATAAGATGAGACAGAGTTTGATCTTAAAACTTTTTATTTTGAAGAGTGTAAATTTTCAGGTCCTTCAAAATGTAACCTTGTTCCACAGAATGCATCTGGATTTCCTCTTGAGAATACCATGAGAAACATGGAAGGAAATGGCAAGACTGGAACAAAAAACCCTGGAAGTTCTCTGGAAAAAAATTATAGGCAGCTGCATAGTAAATGGTCTAAAAGAATAGGTCAGATCTCCAGTAAAGCAAATATAATTGAGGAAGCAGAAAGCAAAGAGCAGATTACTGGTTCTACAAGCCAACAAGGTTACTGGGGCAGGACTTCCCCATATTTTGGTGCCCAGGAAGGGATTCTTGAGCCTGATGCAAATCTGGATTACGAAACTGAGATTTCTGATTCAACCAGAAGTGCAGATGCTTCAGAAAGCTCCAAACACATCAAGCATAAGAGGACACCTTGCATGTATGGAACAAGCTGTTACAGGTAAAGCAAAATTAAAACCAGCTTAAGGTAGCTTATTATTAAGTAGTAATGTATGACCTATGGAAGAGAAAACAGTAAAGTCGTTACAAGTTTTGATTTGGAAAAAAGCTTTGGTAAGCAGGGGACTGATGAGAAACAAATGGCCTAACAAGAATTGTAAAAGTATAAAGGGAGGAGCCAGGATGTCTTGCTAACTGCTAATATAACCCAAACAAGGGATGAAGTACTTGAACAAATTAAAAGATGAAGTGTTGTAGGGAATAAGAAACAAAGGTTCATTTTAAAAAGAAAAGCAATAAACCCCCCTGTATATACAGTACATGTACCAGGAGGGAGAAGAGATGTAAATGGTTGAAATGCCCAACATAGACCCTGTAGGCTTGTTTTATTAGCAGATGAAACTTTTATGAAAGATAATTGTATTTATTGAAGTTATTGCATGCTTTTTGATAAGAATATTTAAAATACTTATTATTTGTCATCCCTAATAAATCAAGAACTACTTTTATTATAAATTGGCCAGTCTATCCCCCTTTTTT